TAGGGGCGCTGTGAGTCAGAATGGACTCCAGGCAGTGGGTGTGGTTTGGGCTTTGCTTCTGTGAAGATTGACAGCCTTGGAGACCCTGTGGGGCAGTTCCACTCTGTCCTGTAGGGGCGCTGTGAATCAGAATGGACTCCACAGCAGTGGGTGTGGTTTGGGCTTTGCTTCTGTGAAGATTGACACCGTGGAGACCCTGGGGGCAGTTCCACTCTGTCCTCTAGGGGCTCTGTGGGTCGGAATTGCCTCACCAGCCCTGTGCTTTGCGGGTAGCTGTATGGCATCATGGCTTTAATGTTCATTTCCCTAACGACCATGATGTTGAGCATCTTCTCAGGCTTTTGTTTTTTTGGTGAAGGGCCTTTAAGATCTCTTTCCTCTTTTTTGTCAGGGAGTCTGTTTCTTATTGCTGAGTCTAAGAATTCTTTACTGATTCTAGGTTCTGGATGGAGCTCCGTTGTGAGACGGACATTTTGCAAACACTCACCGGGAGAGCTCCCCTTGGTCTCTGTCTGGTGAGTCTGGGCAGTTGGTGGGCACCGGGGTTGGGGATAGCCAGCAGCCGCAGACGCCTAGTCTCCTCCCCCACTGTGGTGGTTAAGTCTGTGTGTCACCTTGGCTGGGCCTGGTTGAGTGTCTGGGCAGCTGGATGGAGTATTCCCCATGATGAGGCTGGTAATCAACTCCACGGTGGAATCTACTGGGAGCAGCTGAGTAGCTGCCTTAGGGATGTGGTCTGCTTCCTGTATATAAGGAGAAGCCTTGGGGAACGGTCTCTAGCTTGAGTGCTGCACGTAGCCGTGTCATTGTTCAGCAGACTGACCTTGGGACTTTCAATGGACTTAATGGCCTGCTGTGTGGTTTGGTAACACCGGGACTGTGCCTTTTGACTTGTCACCCTTGGGTTTGGCAGCCTCGGCAGCCAGCAGCTGTCTGAGTGAAGAAAACCCTCTAGTTCCAGTGGGCCAGGAACCGGAGGCAGAGCTGGACCCCAAGGTTGAGGGGCTTTCACCCAGCCCCTAGAGCCTGGCACTTTGAACTTGGATTTAAAGCCTCCAAACTGTAAGAATAAACTCCTGTTTGTTAAGGCCATCTCATTTGTGGTATATTCCTGTCAGAGTGGCACTAGGGGACCAGAACGCCCACCCATCTGGGGTCTGGCCTCTGGGCCTCGTCCACCGTGGAGGACTGGCTGCAGGGCCGGCCCCGGTGCTGGCCCCGAGGCAGGTGAGCGCTGTCCCTGGCCAGGTGCCTGCAGTCTCTCTTCTCTCACTGTCCCTGGATCTCTGGGTACCCAGATGGGGGGCCACTTCCCCAGCCTCTGGTACCTCCCTGGCGTCAGCTCGCCGGCACGCTTATGCAACCAGAGATAAGGGGCGGCCAGGCCATAATCGCCCAGGTGCCTGGCTCCCCCACCTCCCTGGACATGCCTGCTGGCAGCCCGTCCGGTGGCTGGGTGGGGGCAGTGGGGTTGTGGAATGAGGGACATTCAGGCCTCTGACCCGGCCCTAGTCAATGCTGGTCGCTGTCCCCAGGCCGGGGATGAGAGGCGGACAGCACAGCTGCTTGGTAATTGAATGGGAGGGGGAGCCTGGCTGTGCTCCAGCATCTTCCCCCAGGGCTCTGGGCCCCCAGCCCCAGCCAGACTCTCAGGGTGGGTGGAGGTGCTCAGGGTTCGAGCCCCTGTGGGCCATGGATGTCTCTGCCATTGCTCTCAGGCCCGGCCCTGCCAGACCCCCATGGCTGGTGATGTCCCTTACCCTCAGCCAGAGTGTCAGGTGTGTGCCTGGCTGGCTGGAGTCCCAGCAGCCATGACCCAGGAGCCAATGGGGAACAAGGAGCGATTGTGCCGAAGTGGACGAGGGGGACTGGGTTGTCTGCTTCCTTGCATAACCTGCTCCTGTGGTGAGTGGGCCACTGGGCTGGGCTATAAAGTCGGGCCAGGGCAGGGGCTGAGGGTAGACATGAGGATGAGGCCCGCCCTCGCCCTGCTGGGCCCTGTCCTGGGGCTGTTCTGGGTGTCTGAAGCTCGGGCTGAGGTCCTGGTGCAGCCTGACTTTGATGCCAAAAAGGTAACCAGAGCCCCTGCTGTGCTGCCAGCTGGGTGGGGGTGGGGTGAGCTGAGCCTCGGCCAGGAATAGCCTTGAGGACCCTGATCTCTGCTGGGTGCTGGGCGAACACATTGTTTAATCCTCAGACACCCTGGGCCGTGGGTGTGGGGGTCGTTAACGGGGCCAGTGCACAACGGGGAAACTGACACTCTAGCCTGACGTGACCCGTGCAAAGTGAGCGTCAGGAGGCAGGTGATCTGGAGACCCACGGCAGGAGATGTCAGACAATCCTGGTTCCCTTGAGCCCTGGAGCGTGTCCCACCCTTGGGTCCCTTGACAAGGAGAGGGCCAGCCTGTCAGGACGGGGCCCACCTGTCACTGAGCCCTCTCAGTTCTCAGGCCTCTGGTATGTGGTGGCCATGGCGTCAGACTGCAAGGTCTTCCTGGACAAGAAGGACCACATGCTGATGTCCACTCAGGCCATCGAGGCCACTGAGGAAGGCGGCCTTCATGTCCACATGGAGTTCCCTTCGTGAGCGGAGGCTTGGGCAGGGGGGTGGGGGCCCCAGGGCCGAGAGGGAAGGCCGGAGAGTGAGGGTTGGCTGTGGACTCCAGGGCCGCCGGTTGTCACCAAGTGGACGCCGAGTACCTGAAGGTGGGCTCCGCTGGCCACTTCAGAGTCCCAGGTAAGTCTGCCCCACCCCTGCACGGCTGCTTCTCTCCGCCCCAAGGGGATCCTGGCCTCTGCCATCCCCTCGGCCCCCTCCCCATGCTCTCGCCCCTCACCCAGCCTCCCAGGGCCCATGGGGCAGGAGGCTGTGTCTGGGAACCTTGTCCCCCTGGGCCTGGCCCCGGCTCCACAGCCAGCTGCCTTGTCCACAGCCTTGGGCTTCCTGGACGTGCGCATCACAGACACGGACTACGGCTCCTTCGCGGTGGTCTACATCTACAAGGAGCTGGGGGGGGCCCTCAGCACCATGGTGCAGCTGTACAGTGAGTGTCCCCGCCCTCCTCCAGCAGTCCCCCCGCCCCTCCTTGGGCCGGGCCGGCCCTCCCCCTCAGCCCCCCTTCAATCCTATCTCCTGCAGTCAATTCGGACTCAGAGCGCCCCTAGAGGGCAGAATGGGACTGCCCTAGTGGCACTTTCCAAGGCTGTCAATGTTCACGCAAGCGGACTGCCTCATCTTTCCCCCGAGAAAAGATTATAGCCTTAGAAATCCTACGTGGCAGTTAGACTCTGTCCTGTAGGGTAGCTTTGAGTTAGGAATTGACTCCAGGCAACAGTTTTTTTTGTTTAATTTAAGGTCCCCCTTCAGGCCCCACCCCTCTGCACCCTTCTCCTCTCTGCCCCCTCCCTGCGCCCCATCCCCCTGCCTGCCACACCCCTCTCTGTCCCACCTGCGCCAGCGCCTCCCTGGCCGCTTCCCAGCACAGCCCCTGTGGTGCCCTCGCCCCTCTGCCGGGACCATACCTGAGCTGGGCGGGGCTTACCCAGTGTTGGTGGGTGTGGGGGTGTTGGGGCCCACAGGCCCTTTAGACGGGGAGGGCATGGTTGCAGAGGCCCTGAGGGTCAACACTCCCCCACAGCTCGGGCCCCAACCTGGCCTTCAGAGGGTAGGAGAGAAAGTGCCGGGGGCCCCAAGGCCTGGGACCCTGACTTCCAAGCAGGGAGGGCTCAGGGGAGTGGGACAGGGCTCCCCCTGGTGAGGAGAATGACCATGGCGCTGCCGGGAGGAGGCTAAGGGGTGGCTCCCGGAAGCTGTCCGGTGTCCTGGACTCACCTGTGGAGTTAGGAAAGGGTCACGCAGTTCGTGCAGGGCACAGCCCCAGCAGCGTCCCTCCGAGCAGTGGACCTCTGTGGACCCCTCACCCCTGCCACAGGCCCTGGGGCTTCTGCTCACAGTGGCCCTGCTCTGTCCCAGGCCGGACCCAGGACGTGAGCCCCGAGGCCATGAAGGCCTTCCAGGACTTCTACCCCACCGTGGGGCTTCCTGACAACATGGTGGTCACTCTGCCCAAGTCAGGTACCTGCCCAGTTCACCTGTCCATGCCAGGGGGCGTCCTGCCCCACGGCAGTCCCCCAAAGAGCGAGGGTCTGGACTCTGAGGGGGGGAGGATCTCTGGTCCCCCCCCCGTACCTCGGCAGGGGTGCACAGTTGGGGCCAGCTTACATTCTCACGGTCCCCTTTCCTTCCGCAGATATCTGCTCCCCAGGGGGTAAGGAGGCGCCCTGACCCTTCAGCTTGAACCTCGGCTGTCCCAGGTGGGCAGGGCAACTCCCCCTTGACAGGAGGCCCTGCAAGAGTTACTCTCACCACCGCCTCTCTCTCTCCTGACTCCCAAGGCCCCTTGGCCCTCCCCCAAATCCCCTCACCACCAGAGTTCTGGGCCATGCAGTGGTTGGCTCCCTGGTTCCCTCCTGCCCAGGCCCCACCTCCGGGGTGCCCCCCTGTGTGGAAGCAGCGTCTGGCTCCCTCTCACTGCTCCCCACTGTTCTGCCTGGTGACCCCCTTGTGGGTTTGCAGTTTGGGGGGAGTTGTCTGCATGGGCCTTGTGGGGGATGCATGAAGTGTGTGTGTAGTGTGTGGTGTAGACGGGCAGCGGGGACAAGTAGCTTTAGGTACCCAAGAAACGTTTGTAGAGTGATGGGGACCATCACAGCCTTCCCCATCTCCACAGGGTGAGTTGGAGCAGCAGCTTTGTCACCCTGGAGAACAAGGGGTTCCCAAGGACTGTGAGACTCATGCCCCTGCGGCTGCCACACCCTGGCCGGCCCCTTGTTCTCTGCTCCGTCCATCGCCCACCCCGGATCTTCTCCCTGAGCCCCCTCCCCCAATAAACCATCTGCAGCCTGAGGGTTGTGGGCTCTGGGTTCTTTGGAGGTGTCCACACTGGCCCCGGCGTGGGCTTAGCTCCGTCCTGCTGCCGTGACGGGATAGTTCTCTGGGCCTGCTGCGTCAGAACTCCCACAGGGAGGCTCCGGTGGCCGGAAATGGTCCTGTCACAGTTTAAAATTCAAAACTCACTGCCCTGAGTCAGATGCTCTCGAGTCAGGCCCCTCCTTGGGTTTTCAAGTTGGTGTGGAAACAGATTGCCCAACTTTCCGTCTGACTAGTGGCTGGTGGGTTTGAACGGCCAGCCTTCTGGTTAGCAGTCAGGTGCCTTAGGGACTACGCCACGAGAGCTCCGGTTTAGGAGGCAGGAAGTCTGAACCCAGTGCACCGGCTTCCCACAAGGCTGGCCCTCTCGGCTCTGGGGAAGGTCCTAGTCTCTGCCCTGTGTCTTGGTTCCTTGGCGAGCCCACGTGGCTCGGTGTCACACCCGGTCCATCTCTCTTCTGTTCTTGTTTAGTCTCTTTTTTATCTCAAGAGATTGACTCCAGACAGGCCCCACACTAACCCTCATTAGCATAACAAGGGTGGCCCCTTCCCAAATGGGATTGGCCCTGGCCAAGGGGACAGCATGCGGGCGGGCGGGGCATGGAGGGGAGTCTGGCTGGGAGGCTGAGCTCGGCCTGTGTGGGGCCCGGATGGAAGGCAGTGACAAGTGCCCACTGCCTGGTCCTTGTGATCCACAATGCCCACAGGGAGACCAAGGCACCCAGTGAAGACGGGCCCTGGCTGAGGCCCTCGCAGGGGACACCACAGACCTGGTGCAGGGCCGGTGGACGTGGGCATCGTGGGGCTGGGGCATGGCTCATGTGGGGTAATATCGAGTGACTAATGGTTTCTGGTAAAGTGTCCGTTGTCATTAGGTGCCATTGAGTCAGTGCCCCCTCATAGCGACCCTGTGGGTGACAGAACGGGACACTGCTGGGCCCTGGGCCAGGCTCATGCTTTTCACCATTGTAAGCACAATTTAGAGGCGTTAAGTATGTTCACTGTGCTACGCAGCCCTCACCACTGTTTCTAGGACTTTCCATCACCCTAACAGACACTCACGTACCTTCTGCCAATGACCCCAACTGTCCTTCTAGCCCTGGCCACCACCAGTAAACTTTGGGTCTGTGGCTTCGCCTGTTGGGGCGTCTCCTGTGAGTGGGTACAGGGTGTGGCTTCTCTCAGCGCCACGTCTTCGGGGTTCTGCACGTGTGGGGATGTCATTTCTCCTTATAGCTCAGTCATCGGCCGTTGCCTGCACGGCCCGCACCGTGTGGATCCTCCACACAATGGACACGTGGGCTGGACGTTGTGAGCAGTGCTGCTTGGACCCTGGCACCCACACGTCCCTCTGTGTCCTTGCCCTCAGGTCTCCAGGGTTCATACCCAGGAGTGGGGTCACCGGTCAGATGGTGACTCACACGGCTTCACCTCCTAGGACTGGTGGAGTGTAGCACAGTGGTTAGACCTCTGGGGCTGGAAACGCGGCCCGGTGTGGCCAGTGCACGGAGTCCTCAACCCCCCCCCCGCCCTCTCCTCTGGGTGCTCTGTCCTCAGGTCAGGAAACCAGGCACGGAGAGGTTGGTGACACTGGCATGGCTGGGGTTCACACCCAGTCTGCCTGCTGGGCGTGGGCTCTGAGTGGCTCTCAATGACATGCAGTGAAATGACATCATGGTGGCCTTGTCCCTGACACTGAGCCTGCCACGATACCTTTCCAGAGTTCCAAGCCTGGGTGGTTTCAGTGCCCACACTTCAAAGGGCCAATGTGGTGGGGCAGGAAGGCGCGGGAGGCCTGGGGTCATGCCAGGGGCAGTCATCCCTGAAGGGCATCTGTCCTCATCCTGCCTGTCCCCCGGACATTGGTGCCCCCATGTGTCCTGCCCTCCCTCCCCATCCTGGGCGAGGCCTGAGGGGTCCTGATCCATCAGCCTGAATCTGGGGTCTGGCGGGTCTGTGGACCCCCGGCCTCTCTGCTCTGGCTCTACCTTGTCCTGCCTGCTGGGCGTGGGCTCTGAGTGGCTTTCAATGCCAGCTCCAGACACGAGGTGCCCCCACACGTCCAGCCCCCCTCCCAGACCCAGCTGAGCCCTGATGGGCCCTGAGTCATCACAAGGGCTGCCCCACTGCTCATGCCCTAGGGCTGGCACTCAGGACCCAGGGTGACCCTGGCCCCCACAAGGTCCCCAGAGTTAGAGCACTTCACGCCCCCCACCAAGGGAAGCGGGGCTTCTTGGCCAGGTGTTCCCCAGTCACACTGCCCTCAGGGCTCCTGTCCCTGCGTCCCCAGAGACTCTGCGGTGAAGTCCACCGTCAGAGCTGAAGTCTGGAGGGGTCCAAGGGACCAGGCTGACCCAGAAGGTGTCCAGCCCAGTGCTGGTTCAGTGCCTGCAATCACTATCTTGAAGGGGCCCTGGTGGCACAGGGGTTAAACCTCTCAGCAGCTAACTGGAAGGTTGCTGGTTTGAACCCACCAGCCGATCTGAAGGAGAAAGATGCAGCCTGCTTCTGCTGCTTTCCTCGGAAAGCCCGTGGGGACTGTGTGAGTGGTGGTGGTGGGGTCCTTAGGCACGGACAGGGAGAGACTGGGTGGCTCAAGGACATATGCTGGTGACAGAGTCATGGGTTCAAAGCTCTGCCCCTCCATCCATCAGACGTGAGCAGATGGGGCCTCTCTGAGGACGGCTCAGCTGGTCCCCACTGCAGGAGCTTGAGTGGGTAAAATTCAGGGGCTTGGCCCAGGGCAGGGGCATGGGCGCCCTTCCACTGTGGCTCCGTGCTTACTACAGTGGGAAGGGGAGTGGACCGTCCATGGCAGACAGGACGGGGGTGGTTCTTCTTAAGGCCCCACCTTGCACCAACTCATGGAACCCTCACCCCGAGCTTCCCCGGGCTGAGCAGCTCTTGCAGCCTCTGTGTCCCCGCAGCCTCCGTGTCCCCGCAGCCTCCATGTCCCTGCAGCCTCTGTGCTCCCCACAGCCTCCGTGCTCCCCGCAGCCTCCATGCCCCATAGGTGCTGTTCCATTTGCACAATGACCCTCCCTCCTGCTCATCCTTGAAGGTGCAGCTCCAGCTTTGGCATCTGGTACACCCCCAAACTTGGGTGTCCCGGCTCATGTCCTCTGCAAAAGGTGGGGACCCACTCCCTTTGGGCTGCCCCCATGGGTGCAGGGCGTGGTACCACTTCCTAACGTCTGCTCAGCTGTCCGGATGGTGCCTGGACGTTAGGGGTTGCCAGAGTGGACACAGGGCGCTAGGAGCCTGTGGGGGCAGGCTTGGCATGGTGTCCATCCATGTGGCAGATATGCGGTTGTGCCATTGAGCTGGGGCCGCACTCTGGTGGGTGTGGGCATTGGAGCCTCGTCCCACATGGATGGAAGCCAGCCAGCAGGTTGTGAGCACGCAGTGAGGCAGGGACCGATGGGGCGTAAAGCAGGACTCATTTCTCTTAGCCTGTTACCACTGAGTTTGGTCCTGTGGGAGCCTGAATGCCGTCTGTGTGTCCCCTCAATCTACTGCTATAGGTGACACACATGACGGTGGCAGTGCAGCCTCACTAACTCCAGTGTGAGTGTGCACAGATGTGCATATCAATGTGAATGTGCACCAGTGAGCATATCTGGGTGTGTGAGCCTGCTGCGTGAGTGTGCATACCTGTGTGTGTCAGTGTGAGTGTGCACAGATGTGCATATCAGTGTGAATATGCACCAGTGAGCATATCTGAGTGTGTGAGCCTGCTGCATGAGTGTGCATACCTATGTGTGAGTGTCAGTGTGAGTGTGCACAGGTGTGCAGATGTGTGTGTCTATGAACATGCATATCCGTATAAATGTGCAAGTGTGTGAATGTGCATGACTGTGTGATCAAGTATATCTGTGAGTGTGTGTGCTGTGGGTGAGCATGTGTATCTGTGTGACTGAGTGTGTATACTGTGTGTGAATGTGCCTGTGTGGACTGTGACATGCGTATCTGAGTGTGAGTGTGCTATGTGTGAGCATGTGTTTCTGAGTGTGCATGAGTGTGCTGTAAGAGTGATGTGCATGTGCATATGTGCTGTGTGAGCGTGCATATCTCTGTATGAGCATACTGTGTGTGAGTGTGGATATGTGTGCATGTGCAAGTGTGCTGGATGAATCTGTAAGTGTGCACATCTGTATTTGTGTGAGTGTGCTGTGTGTGAGCATGCATATCTGACCCAGTGTGTGTGAGAGTGCATATGTGTGCATGTGAGTGTGCATTCACATCTGGGTCAGCGTGTGTAAGCATCCATGTATGTGCATGTGAGTGTGCTGCGTGTGAGCATGAATATTTCTGTCAATGCGTGTAAGCGTGCATATGTGTAAATGTGAGTGTGCTGTGTGTGAGCGTGCACACGTGTGCATGTGCCTATGTGCTGGGTGAATCTGTGAGCATGCATGCCAGGCAGAGGGGGAAAGGAGGAGGAGGCTGGACAGCTGCTGCAGGTCCCCCAGGTGGCCTCACTGCAGTGTCCACTGCCACCTAGTGTCATTCTGGCTAATGCCCCCCAGGGGGTCAGGGTGTCCCTGCAGAATCGGCTGGTACCCACCCCCAGGTGGGTGTCTGCAGACATGTCTGCCCAGTAACATTCTCGCATCGACTGCACTGGCTGTCTCTCCAATATAAGCCCAGGCTGTGGGCAGGGGGCGGTGCCCACCAGAGCTCAGTCCCAGCTGCTCCAGAAGCGCAGGGGATGGAGGCCAGGCTGCCAGGTGCCATCCTGAGCATCGTCGTCCTGGGGCTCCAGGTGCAAGTGGGGCCGGCCATGCAGCCAGACCTGGACAGTCAGAAGGTAGCACGGCCCTGGGCTGGGAGGATGGTGCTGGGGCCGGGTCTCTGGCCCTTTCCTGTCCCTCTGACCCCCCAGGCAGGTTGGCCGACGAGGGCAGGTGGTTAAGGCTCCTGATGGGGTGCTGAGCTCATCCCTGTCTGGCACCTCCCTGGAGGGTGTGAGCACCTGCCCCAGAAGGACGGGCTCAGCTGCACCAAGGGTTCCTGGGTAGGGTGGGCTTCCTCCTATGCACCCCCGCCCCACTCCCAGCACACTTTTGGGACCAGCAGAGGCTGCCATGGCGTGGGGGCACCTGGGGCGGGGGCGCTTGAGGACTCTCCCACTGACTCACCGCCAGCATGCCTTCCAGTCAGTGCCCACTGCTGGGCGGGGCGCAAGGCAGCCCAGAGAGGATGCAGGTGTCAGGACAGTGACTCTCGTCTCCTGCACAGCCTTCCCACTCCCAAATGTTCCAAACAGAGCTCCTGACAGGATGATGGCCCTCTGAAGATAGGAGGGCCCCCGGGGCCTGGGCAGATGGGGCGGGCTGGCAGCAGTGCATTCCTGCCCCTCTTACCCCTCCAGCCCCTCTCTCCAGGCCCAGCCTCCACCCTTCCCTTTGGTGACCCGACCCCTTTCTGGGAAGGGCTTTCTGGCAGAGTGGCTCTTCCCAGAGACTGGTGCTCTGGGGTCCCGGGCAGGGACAGGCCACACTCTCTGGGCTGGGGGCTCCTGGTGTAGCCGAGAGGCTCCCACACGCTCTTGCTGCTTTACCACCAAGTCTCGTGGCATCTGCCACCTTGCAAAGGCCACCAGCTCCCTGCCAGGTGTCCGTGAGCCACCTGCTGGAGCCAGGCTGGGGTCTCTGGCAGCTGCTCCCGCCCCGCCCTCTAGATGGCAGGCTTCTGGCGGGAAGTCGGCGTGGCCTCTGACCACAACCTGGCACTCAACAGCCCAAAACGGCTGGAAGGCTTGTTCCTGACCTTGAATGGTGCCAACCTGACCGTGAAGGTCGTGTACAACAAGTAAGTCCTGTGGGGGGTGCCGGGGGTAGGGCCCCACCTACACAACAGGGTGCCACCAAGGGGAACCATGTTGGTGGTCAGCTGTCAGGATGTGGCTGGGTGTCCAGGTACGGCCAGCTGCCACCCGCCTGTGTGTTGCCTCCCTGCACCCCCTACTCATCATGGAAGGGACAATGGGTCCCGTCTTGTCAGGGAGACGGACGGCTGATGCCCGAGCTCAGGTTTTCTAAGCTGGAGAGTAGGCCCAGCCCCCACTGCTCACACCCGGAGGAAGCCAGATGTCCAGGCCCCAGTGCTGCAGTAAAACATAAGAGCTGACGTGTTCCTCCAATAAAAATACAAGCAGCCAGTCGTTCTCAGGGAGTGCTGCTCGCTGAGACCCCAGCCACCCGGCCTCTCCTCTGGCTCCTCCAGCTGGAATGGCCTTCCTGTCACTGCACAAGGAGGACAGGCTTTGGGCGGCAGCTTCCTGCCGGCGACAGCACCCCCTGGTGGACAGGTGGGAAATGGACCTGCCTTGTACCTTCCCCTGCCTGGCTCCAGTCTCCCTGGACGTCCAGGGACAGCATCCTTCCCCAAAGACACAGCCCCTCTGGGAGCCCCAGGGACAAGTCAGGTCACCTGTCCTGTCCCCTAACACGCCCTTGCCGTCTTTCAGCTCAGGAAGCTGTGCGACCGAGAAAGTTGTGGGCTCGGAAGTGGCCATTTCAGGGAGATTTGTGTTTCCTGGTGAGAGCGGAGCTGGTGCCAGTCTGGCCCTGCATGGTTCCCTGCAGTGCCGCCCCAGACCCTGCCCTTCTCCAGCACACACCGGTCACCCTTCAAGGCAGCTGCAGCACAGCACGGGGGCCCGGGCTCTGTCCCGACCCAAGGCAGGGGCCACCCCCGGGAATTGCACTGGTGCTGGGTGTGCTTGGTGCCCGCAGCCCGGCCCTGAGGTCCCCCTGTCCCCTGGGCACCGTGAGAGGGCCTGGGTTTGGGTGGGCTCAGGTGAGGCTTGGTGCCTGCAGGCCTGCCCTGAGGTCCCCCTGTCCCCCGGACGTGGGCGGGCTCAGGTGGGGTTGGTGTAGGGTATGGTCTGAGGACGCTGCCCCCACTCACCCCCAGGACGCAGGGAGCTGCAGGTGCTGGACACAGACTATGACCACTACGCCATCCTGAGGGTGTCCCTGTACTGGCGAGGTCGCAGCTTCGAGGTGCTCAAGTACTTCAGTAAGCCGGCTGGGGGTGGGGGCACCACGGCCCTGCGGTTGCCTCCTGGGTCCCCTGCCTGCCCCCCGGCCACCCACGGTCAGCTGCCTCCACCCACAGGTCGCAGCCTGGAGGATGACAATGGGCCTGGTTTCTGGAAGTTTCGGGAGCTGACGGCTGACACAGGCCTGTACCTGGCAGCCCGGCAAGGTGAGGCTCCCGGCCTGGAGGCGGGCCGAGGCCACCTGGCCACCCCTCACGCTGCCCTCCACCCCACAGGGAGGTGTGCCCAGCTGCTGAAGGAGGTGAGTGGGGGCCTGGGTCTGTGGCCCCACCCCCGCCCCCACGGCTGGCCTCCTCCCCCCCGCCAGTGTGGCCCTGGGGTGGGAGGGGCCCTTCACCCCTTCCAGACAGATGGGCGAGGCCGGGGGTGTGTCTCCTCCTGGGGGGTCACAGTGGGGGATGTGGAGGGAGGCAGACGGACAGGTGCCCGTCCAGGTCTGGCCTGGTGGGGCACAGGCCCTGTGGGGAGTATCATGGCCTCCGGGGGCCCAGCTAAGCCGTCGCCTGCAGGACTTCTTGCTACCTCAGCACAGCCGTGAGTGGCCACCGGGAGCCCACTGTGTGGACAGTGGGACTGAGGGCCAGGGTTTGCTCAGAGCCCCAGGGCCGGATACCCTCCCCAAGCCCGGCCCTAACCCCTGCCCTGCAGAGTTGCATGCAGGCCTGAGCCCCACTTCCTGCCACAGGAGCTGATCTAGGAGCACCATGCCCTGAGACCCCCGCCCACCCCACCTCTCCCCTGGCTCCTCCAGCCGACGGGTCTCCTGCGCCCGCGGGGCCACCCACCTCTGAATAAAGTCCTGCCGCAAACCTGCAGCTGCGTCTGTCTCCTGGCGGGTGGTGGGGGGTCCGCAGTAGGGCAGTGGGCACTGTGGGTTATTCGGACACGGGAGACTAGCTGGGGGGTACCACTAGCAGCCGGGCCGCGGCCCCTTGGGGATCCTGAGCCAGAAGCCCGAGATTCAGGGGTGGCAGGTGTGCTCCCCACCTGCCGCTGCAGCTCTGAGGGGCCCTCTCTGGTCCCTTCCAGCTTCTGGGGCTGCAGGGCTCTGTGGTCTGTGGCCCTGCCTCTCTCGTCCCTTGCTCTGTCTTTACCTGGTGTCGTGTCTTCTCTGTCTCTTCCCTTCTGTCTCTGGTAGGGACATTCATCGTTGGATTTAGGGCCCACCCTACTCCAGAGCGAAGTGCTCACCTGCCAGCTGCAGGTTGGCGGTTTGAACCCATCCCAAGGTGCCTCAGAAGACAGGCCTGGCTCTCTGCTTCCTGAAGGTCACGGCCTTGGGAACCCTACGAGCAGTTCCACCTGCACACGTGGGGTTGGGATCAACTCCCAACAAATGTCAGCTCAGCCAGGCTGGACTTGCCTGGACCCTGCCTTCATCACACCCGCAGAGAGCCTTTTCCACATAAGGCCCACTCAGGCTTGTGGTCAGTGTGTGGACATGTCGTCTGGGGCACTGTCCACAGTCTGTCCGCCATGCTCTGCCCCTGGCCACCAGGGACCCCTCATTTCAGGTCAGCCTGCTGAGGGTGCTCCTGGTCTGAGTGGGAACCTGCCTGCCCTCAGAGTGGCCATGCAGCGTGGAGTCCTGCCTGCCACCTGCCTAGGCCGGCCCAGGGCTTCAGAAGCTAAGTGGGTGACCCTGTCCCCGAGCCCCAGGGACCCGCTGTGCTGCCCGGGGAGCAGGGCAAACAGGACAAGCCAGGGCAGGGTGGGACCTGACCACCAGTCAGGCCAGGCACAGCTGAAAGGGACACTGGTTCTGTCCCCACAGTCGCCTGTCTCCCTCCAGCAAGGCCCCTCACTTCCCTGGGGCTCCAGGGATATCTTAGCCCTTAAAAAGCCAACCCACAATTGAACCCACACCCATGGTTTCCAGCCAAACAAAAGACAGGCATATGAGTTGAACATTTACCTCAGGTAGATACACTCCTTGGAGAGAACAATCATGGGAGAAGGAAGGGCTGCTTATGCACAGGGAGACAGCTCAAGGGGCAGGAGAGTATGGAGGGATGGACACTGGGAAGTGGTAACTATGGGGAGGAAGTGGGAGGGGAGCTGTTGCATTGTGGTAAACTGTGGTCAATGACATGAGACAAAGTGTATGTGAACAGCTGTATGGAAAGTGAATTTGCTCTGTAAATCTTTACCCAAATCACAATAAAATTTTTTTTTTCTCTGAAAAGAAAAAAAAAAAAACCCACATTCACAGCCATCAAGTCAGTTCTGACTCATAGCAACCCCCACTGGGTTTCCAAGACTGTAAATCCTTACAGAATCAGACTGCCCCACCTTTCTTCCACAGAGCAGCTGGTGGATTCAAACTCCCAACCTTTTGGTTAGCAGCCAAATGCCTTACCCACAGTGCCACCAGAGCACCATATCTTCTCCCTTAGGAATGAGGAACGAATCTCCATCGGACTGTGCCCTGTGGCACCCCCACCCCTCCCCACACTAAGGCCTCAGTATTTCATGTGGGGCTCTAGTAGTGCCGTGCCTAAGGCATTTGACTGCTAATCAGAAGGCTGGCTGTTCAAACCCACCAACAGCTCTGCAAAAGGAAGATGGGGCAACCTACTTTCGTAAAGATTTACTGCCTCAGAAACCCAGTGGGGGTTGCTATGAGTTGGAATCAACTCCACGGTAGCGGATTTTTCAGTTTTGCAGCTCCCTGATCTATTATCATCCATCCATCCACCCATCACCCGTTGTGGTAGTTCAGTCTGTGTGTCAACTCGGCTGGACCTGGCTGAGTGGCTGGGCAGCTGGATGGAGTATTGCCCATGATGAGACTGGTCATCAACTCCACGGTGGAATCTACTGTGAGCAGCTGAGTAGCTGCCTTAGGGATGTGGTCTGCTTCCTGGACATAAAGAGAATCCTTGGGGAACGGTCTCCAGCTTATGGCACGCTGGGACCCTGCATGTAGCTGGGTCGTTGTTCAGCAGCCTGCCATGCTCTGCTGACCTTGGGACTTTCAATGGACTTGAATTAATGGCCTGCCATATGGTTTGGTAACACTGGGACTATGCCTTTTTACTTGTCAACCTTGGGCTTGTCAGCCTCAGCAGCCAGCAGCTGAGTGAAGAAAAGCCTTTAGCTTCAGTGGGCTAGGAGCAGGAGGCAGAACTGAAGCCCAAGGTGGAGGGGCTTTCACCCAGCCCCTAGAGCCTGGCACTTTGAACTTGGACTTAAAGCCTCCAAATTGTAAGAATAAACTGTTTGTTA